GGTCCTTTCCAACCTTAGTGATTCTGTATTTGCAAATCCTGGGTATGTCACTGAACACATTTGCTTGGTAGTTCTTGGAATTAGACTGAGGTTACTGTAGAATTATAATGTCTTTCCTATTTATACAAAAAACACAACCATTTGATCTCGCATTTTTGACTGAATAAATAGGAGGAAATTAAATAGTTACTTTAATAAGATTATATTAATCTAACATCGTAATAGTAAACTAAAACAAAAGTAGTTGAGAGGTAGATAGCTGTACTTTGCTTTCAGTGGTGTTTTGGCTGGGCACAAAGTTCAATTTTTCCAGTGATAATTGCTTACATTTCTCGTTGCAGAAACTTAGAAGTCATTGGCAGAGTTTGTTAGTAGTTTGTGTGTGTTAAGTGGGCAGATAGGGTTTCATGTTTCTAAACTTGTAACTGAGGAGATAGGCAATCTACGTTACTAAGCAGAGTTTTGCTGCCATTATAAATAGAACTAATTCTAAAGCAAATTTTTTTCCTATTAGACTTCTTTAAATCTTTGGGAAAAGTAGCAAAACAGAAAAAAGTGTCAGGTGAGAACAAAAATCCAAATACTTGTTATCATTTTTAAAACCTTCATTTTAAATACAACGTTTTATTAGCATTAGAAGATTTCAAATTTTAAGTTTTTTTTTAAATAAATAGCCATTTTTTGAGCATAGCGTGAAATTATTCATATATGCATATTCTGAGAATGGCAAATCTTGTCGCTATGAGATAAATTCAGCATAGAAGAAAAAGGCAGGATGGATTTGTGAACAGTAGGAATTGTGAACACACAAAAAAGTGGCCAAGTTACTAAGAAAGGTGGTTCTGCATCAATAGTCTGTCAATGATAAAAAATTACAGTTCTTCATTAAATGGTAGCAACTGTTCTCAGTACCACAGAATTATTTTTCAAAGCCACAAAGAATGAAAATCATGAGTTAGAGGGTACAAAATGCTTCTCTGATGTCCAAGCAAGTCAGAAAACAATGGAATTGAGGAATATCTTTCAACATACTGACTTTGGCAACACATATACCTGCATTTGTACAAAAGCTTTCTGCAGTACTGTAACATGTTGATATGCTCAGCTCCTGTTAGGTAAAAGAACCGTGGGCTCAGTTGGCATGTCAGCTTGGAGCAATTCTCATCCGGGGCATAATTTACCATTTTGTGAAGGATTTGCTGTGTCACCGAACAGAAGACAAATGCTGGTAGACTTCACCAAGAGACACATGGTTATTTTCAAATGCCATGACAAATCCTTTTGAGGAACACATGCCTGATATAAGCAGCTTGACTCATTGTCTGTAAACTGTGTGTCATTCTTTTGTTGTGAGTGAACTGTACTGTTGCACAGGGTACAGTAAGCTCATATTACTGGTTGCTGCAGGGGGAATTTCAGTATTAAAAAAATGGGAAGCATGTGCTGGAGGTGGATGATTAGCATCCTGGCTAGCATAAAGCATTCGTGACACTGGCGAAATCCACAGTTTGTGAGCTGTGGTAGTTTCTGTCATGGGAATAGCAGCATTGCAGTTAACAATAAACCTGAGGTTGGTCTGGTGTGAAACTTAATGTCTGAAATCAATACAGAGAGTGAAAGGAGTATTTCCCTCAGTTTAGGGAGAGAGATGCTTGAATGGCTTTAAGGCACTTTGTTGCTGCTTTTCCTCATACCCTAACGATTGTGGCTATTGTGATCATAGTTAATATATAGATGTACTAAAAAGAGGGAAAAGAATCTATTATTTTAGCTAGGTGTAGAGATACTTCCTTGTTCTCTTGGCTTAATCTTGAATTGATGTTAGTTCAGAAGACAGCTCTGTGCCTCTGTTTCTCCTTCCCTTAATTTTCTGTCTAATTCTATTTAGTCTAAACTTTTTTTAAGGAGGAACTGCATCTTGCTGTGGGGTTTTTGTTTTGGGGGTTTTGTTGGGATTTTTTGGGCTTTTGTTTGTTTGGTTTTTTTTAACAGTGTCTTGCACAATAAATCAGCTAGGTCCTTGGGCTGCTTAGGCATTCCAGAAGTGATGCTGCTCATAGTGAAAATTTTAAATATGATGAATGACTGAACTGACATCCTCCTCATGCTGGAAAGGTATTTTCCCATAATTCATAACAAAGCACGGATTTCACTATATCTCATGGGTTTACTGAGACATACTGAAAATTTTTGAGATACTGAAAATCAATTAAAGCAATATATTCAACTCATGCTGTGGTTATTTGGTCTGTTCTTTTATGTAATTTACACACTAAAAAAACTTAATACAGCTTGGCCTGGCATACTCAGTTCTCTAAAAGCCCTGACTGGAAAATGAAATGTCCATTGGTTCTGGAACTCTTCTTCGAAAACAATTTTTTTGACCAGGTTCTTGAATTCATCTGTTGTCCATACTTCCTTCTGTAGAAGTAAAGACAAAATTTGCAGACAAACATTATTTTGTTCATTCTTCACTGGAAGCGGTGTTTAGGAACCACTCAAGAAATGCTATGCCTTTCTGCAGAAACTTGCCTTATTTCCTACCAAAGCATGCAACACCAGCAAACTCTGTGAACTGAATCTGTAGCAAAGCTTCAGGAAAACGTGGCAATTGTTTCAAAAAAGTCTAAGTTTATTCAGAGAATGGGAGATGGTAGGTCAATCCCAGTGCTTAGGAGTGTTAATTCACAATTACTGTTCTGCTAAATTGAGAAACTAACATACTTTGTCGGGTTACACTATGTCTTCTGCAAAGCTTGTGCCTTTATTGTGTTTGAAACTTCTTCTGTGATTAATGGTGAGGTTTGTGGCAAGAGCTAAAAGTTATGGATCTGTCTCTGTACTTAATGTAGGGTAGTCCAAGTTTTCCTATATTCCACTTGGATATACTGTTATTGCTGGATATTACTACTGTTGGTGATTGCCTGTGCCACAGGTCTCTGACATTTTCTGTCTTTTTGTCGTATATCATCCTCTTTTGTCCTTAAACCTTACCACTCTCACCTGTCCGTGCATACAGTCAGTCAGCAAAATGTACAGAATTAATTCCCTTCTTCCATTAGATTTAAGTAACTTAAGTTGGTTTCACTAGAAGGGGTCACAGAAGAATTCAGTGACGTGTATTTAGCTTTTTTTTATGGGAATGTAACTTTAGAAATGCATTTGTTACTGTCATAAGAATCGTGTTTTCAAAAGCAATGACAAGTTATTTCCTTGGATAGCGTGACATGTAAAACTGGTAACACTAGATGGCAACATCCACACTCTTTTGTCTGAGTTTGATTGATACCTTAAGTCAAAGAGAATTATTTGTATTTAAAAAGAAAACATTAATGGTTAATAATGGCAGAGAGGTAATTACTTGTAAGTGCACATGTCCCTGAATTGCAGAACAATTTCTTAGGATCTTCACAGATCAAGCAAAGATCAGCAGGATTTAAAAGTGAAAAGGCTTCAAAAGACCAAAACCAGAAACTTTTTCTAAGTAATAGAAATCTTTCTTGTCCTTAATGTAAGTATTGTTTAAGAGCTGTTACTCTTTGTAGTCTCTGAACAACATAGCTCTAAGATCAAGTTTAGTGATCTAGAGGGCCCCGCATGTCATCATGGTGGTCTTCTGTGGGCATGCTATCATGCCCACATGCTTCATTTGGGTCTTCCTGACTGCTACAGGAAGGAGCTGGGGTGGGCTGTCGTAGTTGAGGTACTGAAATCCAGATATATTGTCTAAGTCATGCATGCTTTGGAAGAGCCACTGGGCTAATCTAGCATTGTGTGGGAAACCATTCTGCATGCAGACGGGACAGGGTTGTGGTGAAGAAGCAAGCATGATGCTGCATTTGAACATGCAAGTGCGCGTCATCCACGTGATGACTACCACAAATTTGTTTCTCAGATTTTACACTCAGTGTATTTCTTCTTTACGTTACTTTTGTAAAGTTCCTGCATTATTTAATAAGCACTGGAAGTATAGCTGATCCTTATTTCTGTTTGTTCTCGCTTTGAAGTTTGACTTTTCCTCTATCTTGAATTTGTACTTTGCGATTCAATTATGTGAATTTGAAGTCTTTCAATAAACACTATTTATGTAGAAACTCTGAAGGCAGTTTGTGTTTTGGGGTGGGTTTTGTTGTTTGTTTTTTTTAAATTTGCCATAGTGTTTCATTATTGGTACTACTTTGTCTGGTGAAGTGTATGTTTTGAGTTAAATTTTGCAAGACTACATGTCTTGTCTTATCTGGGTTGCTTAGTTCATTTTAGGAGCAGTTAGAATTTCAGATAGAAAATATTTTGAGGTTTGAATTAACTTCTCTTGGAGTGGCTATCTTATACTGCATTTTGAGAAGATCAACTGTTAAAATCTATTGCTTTAAGGAGCTTAAATTGGCATAATTTCTGATTACTTTATTTGAAATGGTGTGTGTTTTGGCTTTTAAAATACGGTTGTATCATACAAGTTATGTACACCTTTGTGCTATATCAGCAAATTTTACACACGAAGTAAACTGTTACAATACATTACGTTATAAAGAGTATCAGTGTATCCATCTGGTGCTTTTAATTTTGATTCTAATAACAATAATTGTACTGAACTAACATAATCTTAATTTTGCATTTTGTTTGAATAACCAAATATATAGTTTCATTGCTGATATAACCTTGAAAACTTAAAAACAAAGCTCTAACTTGCCTGGCTTTATTTTCAAGTGATTGCAAAATGCAGTAAATGTGGCTAATTCAATGTCATGTTTTGTACTACAAAGAGTAAAACAGGCTGCAGAGCCAGAACTCTTTAATATACTCTGCATCAACGTAAACTGGTTTTCTATGTTTTAAAGACCTTAGCAGTTAAAAAAATACTACCAATTTTATTTGTAGAGAATACAGGTAGAAACAGTAAGAGATTTAGAGCTGCAGTGAACTTAAAGCATGCCTCTTAGGTATCTCTGTGTATTTCTAGAAATATATGTGAATAACAGATCTTGGTTGTTTTTCAGATGTTAAATTTCAATTTCTATCCCATTCTGCATGTGAATGGCATTATGATGTCTGTACAAGCCCTTGTTTCAAGACATGCAGGGACCCTTTGGGAAAAAACTGTCAGGCAGTACCAAAGTAAGTATCTCTATTTCCATGGAAAGGTATGTAATTTGGGTAATATGCAGCATAATAAGAATATGATGGACCAGATGTAGGCTCAGTATAGCGGGACTGTGTTCTTATATAAGGAGGTCAGAGAAGGAGAAAAGAAACAGAATAAAACCTGCTGTGGCAGCTACATGAAAGTGACATTTCAGTTGTTAGGTAAGTATTGTCAGATTCTGGAATGACTAGTATATTTGTAACTTTCCAGCTGGAGGTGTGTGTAGTAAAGCATTAATAAAGAGAGGTGATTACAAGTTTATTTCAAGTAGTTGTGCCCCTCCTTTTTCATTATGACATTATAACAGCTGTATCTGTCCTTGCCTTTTCCTTCCAATTGGAGTTTGTGCTAAGTCTGGTAAAACTGGTATTTGCATTTTGATGTGCAAAAATGTTTGGCATTTCAAGCAATAGCATTTACTATTGAACCTGTGACCATTCATTTCAAAGGCTGAGTATCACAGAGTTCAGCTTAGATCAGAGTTTAGCTTAGATCTGAGTGAGAATGGAAGACATGGCAATGACATTTTGAAGGAGTATACTGAGATGATGAGATTTAGATAGAACAAGACTGTCTACTTAAAAATACTTTATAACTAAATTGTGTTTTTTCTAAAATTAAATGCTTAATCCAGAAGATACTCTTCAACTAGTTAATGCTAACTGTTTTTCTTTTAGAGTGGAAGGATGCATCCCTGCCTGTCCTCTCAATATGTTGCTGGATGAAATCACTCAAAGATGCGTGTATTTTGAAGACTGTATGTTTGAAAATATATATATATATTGTGAATGATACTTAGTTTATTAATTTCTTAGGTCTTTAGTCAAATTTTCAAGTATTGGTGCTTAAATTTGTGTTAACTATGACCTTAGTTCTATGAATCTTGAGCTCACTGGACATACAATTTAGTTAAAATAATTTCACTCCTCAAAAATGTGAGACAAATTTAAACTAAGAAGGATGTTCTCACTTCATCGAAGAGTAACATTAGATGCGGAGCAAATGATTTAATTAATTTATTTTTTAATTTGTCTATAAATTTTAGAAGTTTAAAGGCAGTTGAAAAGCTCAGAGTTATATGAGTTAACATAACTTCCTTCTAGCTCTGCTAGCTTCATGACTATAATTATTCATAAATTTCAGACTGCTATTTACTTGTGTCTGTCTGATTTCAGGCATTGAACCTGCAGATGATAGTACACCTTTGCCACCCAGCATTCAAACACCAGCAGTTTCACACGTAACATCAAGTACAAGCTTGTCAGTGATCAGTAAAGCTGTAACTTCATTTCCTGTACCTGAAGCAAAGGGCATAGAAACAACACTTGCTTCAAAACTGCAACTCACTGCAGCTACAGGGAAAACTGAATTTTCAGATGTTTCATTTAATACAACACTTCCAACCATAACTTCATCACCAAATATTTCTTTGCAGTCAACAGAAATGACATCTGGGAAAACCACAACAGCAGTGTCCAGGACAGCAAAATCTAGTGTAAGCTTGTCTTCTCCTGTTTACTTTTCTCCATTGTTTCCATCTACTCTCAGTTCAGTAACTTCCACAAAGATACAACCAATCAGTAGTGGTTCCACTAAACTATTGAGGGCTACAAAACCTCAGACAGTAACTGCTACACATGCAGTGACTACAAGCACAGAAGCGGAAAGCAAACCAATTTCTACTTTTATTTTTACTGGGACACCACTTATACTTAGAACAACAGAATTACCAGTCAAAACTAAAATAATGGAAATATCAGAAATAGCCACAGGAGCACTTCCCACAAAAGAAGCACAAGTAAAACCAGAAGGACCTGCAACATTTACACCCAGTTCATTTGAATCAGTAACAGAAAAAACTACTGCATATCTGCCCCAGTTTTCCATACCACAACGTCTAGGCATGCCTTCATATACACCACTAGTAAACCTAACAGGAGCTTTAGAGGGGACAAAAATAAGTGTAGGACAGTCTTTCACCGCAGTAGCCAATGTTACAGTAACATCGTTTTCTCCTGTGATCACTACTTCATCTTTGTTAAAACTGGTGTCTTCAGCAACAACAAAAGCAGCAATTGTTTTAACTGAACAAACTACATTTTCACCAACATCCACACCACCTATTTCATTAGGAAAGGCAGTTACAGAACCTCCTATTGAAATGGTTCAACACCTGACTCGTACTGCAGAGGTACCTTTTACTACAACTCTAGGTCCAAAGACAACTCTGCAAACTCAAGAGACACCAACAGAAACAACTCTATCATTTACAACTCATAAAAAGGAAACTCCCAAAACAACATCGCATTTGGAGTATACGTCAAGTTCCTATTTCCCTCCGTATTCACTACATTCCAGCTCTACAACTGAAAAACCCATCACTCTTTCTACAAAGAGACCTTCAATGTCTGTTCCTACTCCTGCTTCTCCAGCTTCAGCTGAATTAAAAAAAACATTTAAAACTGTTTCAACTACAGGATATCCCTCATACATAGTTCTAAACACAACAGGGTTCCTGACTACATTATACACTAAATATCCTGTTGTGGCGACAACTGTCAGAGCGACACCTTTGTCTGAGGTAACATCCAAAATAACATCCCCTTTTAAATTAGCAGCAAAGTCAACTTTGTTTTCTGGAAAAACATCTACCGAATACAAGTCAACTCTACTTTCAAGTACAGTGAAGACAAGCACTTCAGCATATTTGGATAATGTTACCGCATCAGCAGTGAAAACCTCTATCCCATCAAAAGAAATCACCAGGGTTCCTTTCGTAGCTACAGAAAGAGAGTCAGCTCAACGAACATCCGTCACTGGATCTCTGCTTACTCTCCTTAGTGGAACTGAAACCACATTGTTGACAACACAGCCTGATAAATCACAAGTGGAAAGAATTATTAGCATCTCTACTAGAAAGCCATCTGCTTTCCCTTTTTCACCATCAAGTTCTCTAATGTCTTCAAACATTTCTCTTCCTTCACTACCCTCATATGGAAAAGAAGTATCAGTGACAGCTGTCAGTCCCATGCATACATCCCATGAAACGATCACTTTATATCCAAGAACGACTATAGCAAAATCTATGTTACCAACAGAGAAGACCTCTCCAGTTCTGACTTTCTCTACTTTATCCACTGTAATAGAACAATCAAGCCCAGTAACAACAGTATCACATGATAAATTGCCAGGCAAAGCCATTTTAAATATCACTTATGCCACATTCTCACCATCCTCTGAATTCAGCAGTCAGCTCATAACAACCAAAAAAGTAACGACAGAGGAATCAACTCTCTCCCCTTCTGTTGTACTTCCAGTAACAAAGTCTTACACTTTCTCCACCTCTCTGTATCTATCAGATAAATCAGTTTCTTCAACTTCTTTAACACAAATGATACCAGAAGTAACCACCACACCAAAATATCCAGTAGAAACTAAAATAGTTTCTACAGCATTGAAATCTACAGTCCAGAGTATAACAAATACAGTAAAACTTACAGCAGCAGCAGCTCAGCCATCCTTTCCTCCATCTTCAGTAGGCCCCTTCTCTTGGCAGACATCTTCAGGGGACAAACTTTCAGGACAGACCACAAAGACCATGGTTATACCACATTTTTCTACTTGGAAGGCTATGGAACTTGGTTGTCAGACTTCTGAGCCTTCATGGACAAGGCAAAGCAGTACCCCAATTTACCAATATCCTCCAGAAACTCTAACAAAATCCACTGGTCAGCCACAACGTGTCTTTAGCACAACTGAAGCTACAGTAGAATTGACTTCCTCATACCCCTTAATCACCGTACTACCTGAAGGCATTCATTCAAGTATATTGCTTACCTCTGTAGGTCCTACACAAGTTATTTTGCCAACTGAAAAAGAGTTGCATTTAACTGATTCAGTCACACAGCCATATGTATCAAGAACTACTTCTGTTTTGGAGTCTGCAGTCCCAACCAGAACAGCAGCTGACTTGATTTTTGGTACCAGGATTCTCCCTTCCTCACCAGAAGTTCTTGCAGCTTCCTCCTCTTTAGCAACAATTAAAAAAGAAGCATTTCCTTCATTTTCCACACAAGAGGCAGGTACTGGTCTAAAATTCACACAGCAGGCCTCGTTTACTGAATCACTTGATTCAAGTCAAACACTTGAAACAACTACAGCTTCACCAGAATCTAAGTCAACCTCTTCATCAGTTTTGTTATCAGAAACAACAGAAATTCCCATTGTGGTGGGGAGTGGGCCATCCACATCGACGAGCAAAAGTGGTACAGAGAGAACTGCAGTGTTGCCTAAGCAAGTCATTTCAACCACTGCCTACAGTTCCACGTTTCTAGCAAGTACAATGTTGCTGGCTATGGCCCATTCATCAGCTGCAGCTTCAGTCTCTTCAGTGATGAGCAGTACTGGGCAGAATTTTAGTACTGTATCAGCAGCTTCAGACAAAGCAGAAGCAGTAACAGAATCCATCACGAGCTCTGTGAAGCCCACCTATTTTTCTCTTACTTCAGAAGCAAAAGGAGCTGTGCCCTTTGATACAGTAAAATCTGAAGAGCCAGAATTGACAACAGAAATCCAAGCTGTCCATACTCAAGATGTTCCTGTTACTCCAGAAGCACCTCCGACATTTTACTCTCCATATTTCACAAACACAACTGCAGTTCCTTCTAATGTAAGTGTATCAGTACCATCCACTATACGTTCATCCTCTGAACCAAAACCTTTTTCTTCTATAGCTGTGTCATTGATGAGTACTACTCAAACTTCAAAACCTGAACTATCACCTGAGGTGCAAACACCTTCTGTGAGTTCACCGCTAATGATGTCTGACCATCCAAATGACACAACAGCTCCATCAGTTTCCTCATTTGCCTATTTATCTACCAAACCACTTCATGGCTTGATTACAACATTTTCAGATAGACTGGCAACAGCTGAAGTAGTATCAGGAGCCACAGCATCAGCTTTTATGCTGCCTAGAGAAACAGCAACTCTTCAAACTTGTACAGTGAGTAACGAAATATTTATCTGTTTGGTTTTGAATGTGTCTTGGTTACTTTTACACACTGATAAAAAAAATTTGAGAGACTCACTTTGATCTTTAGCGTTTAAAATATCTGTATCAAACAAGGAGCTCTATTATTTTCTCAGTTATATCTGAAACTTGGGATGCTTTCCTTGTGCATAATGGTTTTTGTGCTATAATACACTATGTTTCAGGCCTCAGTTTTCTGAGTGTGACTGTTACAAGAATTTTTTTTTTTTTGACAAAATACAGTGCTTCATATTGTTCAATGGCAGTTTTTTGGCACGTTGCCCTCCTTAAATTACATCTTTCCAGAAGTCCCTGTTATTACTCCTATTTATGCCCTTCCATACTTTTCCTTCTCAATTTCTTTTAATGTAAAGGTAAAAATTCAATAATGCTGTTCTCTGCTTTACAACAGGGCAGTGGTTTTAAACTGTCCTCAGAATGGTCAGGTTTTCAAAGGTGCTCTTCACTTGTAGCTTCTCTCAGTGTCACAGCGATTCATAAGTATTCTGTAATGGAAGAATGTGAGTCCCGGTTTTGAGCAAATACTCTGCAATATTGTGATACTAGCTTGGTAAGAATGGTAACCTGTATCTTTTATTAAATATGCCTTAGCCAATCACAGAGAATGAGTGCATAAAACACATCTGCTTGGATGGACAGCTGATACAAGTTAATAAGTCGCAGAACTGCCCATACAACACAACTCAACCTAGCTGTGGAGTTTTAGGATTTGCTACTCAAATGAATGGTGACAGATGCTGCCCGAAGTGGGAATGTGCATGTAAGTTTTAATTATGCAGTACTTTTGAAGTGAATTTAGGTAACAATTTAATGCACGTGTAAGAAGGCTAAGAACAGATACTTCTATACTATGGCCTTGAAATAGAACATGCATATTGTACAGGTTTCTCAGATTGCCTAATGCAGTTTATAATTCTAGTTCTATATCCAGGGAAATGAAATCAAAATGCTCCTTTAATGTAGGCTATTCCTGTTACCTAGCTTTAGGTATCTGCAGTGGACATGTCTGGGTCTTACTTAGACCCATCTTGTCTTCTGTCTAAGAAGAGCACACCTAGTCAATATAGTCAGTGGATTTTTTGGTTCATTTTGTATCTACTTCTCTAGACTCTTGATAACTAGCTCTGTTAAAAATTTGGGGACTCTGGAAGCATAGCTGTACTGTAGTCACTCCCATCAATTATCTAGAACTGGGCAGGAAGAATCCAAAGCTTAAAGAAATTCAATTTAATCTGTAATAGCAAAGAAAGGACGCAGAGAGAAGCAATGCAAATTTCTGCTTATGCTCTAGAGTTTGAAATAACTAGGAGTAGAACTCCAAGCCCTTTGAAACACAAAAGCTTTAGCAATAAGATCGGGAAGAAGGAAGGTTTTCATGTGAGCTCCTGCCTTAAGAACAAGACCAAAAGGGGGCTAAGGATCTGGCATGATCCACTGTCATTCATGTTTTTTGCTAGCTTGGGGTTTGTAAAAATTGCAAACCTTTGCTGGCAAGAACTGTAAGAAGATAACTGATTGCAGAGGTGTTCAGGTTGTCCCACTGAAATATGCAGGATTTGACTCTGCTGTCCGTTCACAGAGATGCAACAGTATCAATTTTAGCTGAATATGTGTGCTGCATATTTGAAACTCTAGTAAGCTAGTTAATCTTATAAAAGTTATTGTATGTTTTATCTTCATTTTTTGTACTATTTACAGAAATTCTAAAATAAGTTAGAAAAAACATTTAATTTCTTTTTATTTTTTGTAGGTCGTTGCACAATTTTCTCTGATCTGAGCATTGTAACCTATGATGGAAACCATTTGGCTTTATTCAAAGAAGCATCTTACGTTGTTAGTCAAACTCAGGATGAAACTATAACCATCCATGTCATTGACTGTAAAACGGTAACTAACATTTATCATCTAACAAACGGTGTTCAGTTGCTAATAAGATGTATCTTAAAAGAAAGGGCATAGTAATACTACATAGTTGCGGTTAATTACTCACTTCTCTCTAATATCTATGAATTGCACTTAAACTTTTTGACATTTGTGAATTGTATAGCATTTAATCACCTGACTGTATATGCAGAGTTCCTTCTGAAACAGCTGGAAGGTGAGAGGCAGGTCCCTCTTGTCTTACTATATGTGTGGTGAGAGATTAAATGGATAAATATTTATTAGTCATTTCTGTGAATGCCATCACATAATAAGTACCACTATAGTGTACCAGTGTACCACCAGTGTATTTCAGTGCATGATTTTTAACTATGTTCATATGGAGAAATTTGCAGTGGAAACACCAATCTTCAGAGCCAGAAAAGGCTGTAGGATTGTCAGACTAAATTAGACCACCCTGTGCATTCCAGGTCTCTGACAGGGGTAAATACTCGTTTCAGAGAAGGAAGAGAGAAACCCTAATGGGTATCCTGCCTAATGGGTAGTGTAGTTTGGCTTTATGTCATGAAAAGATAAATTTGTCATAAGCCTTTACAAAGCTCTTTACACTCCAGTCTCTTCTATGAAAGCTAGATAATTTTGATGTCCATATAAATGTCCATCACAAAGTTTGGTCCCTATTAGTACCTTATGGAAGTTAATTCCAGAAGCTCAATATGATTGATATGAAAAAGGAGATCTGTTTATGACTTTCAGATTTGTTTTTCTTTTGTATTCAGTGCTTTTTGTTTTGTTTAGCACCTTGTAGCTCAGGAAGTATGCATGTATTTCTGATCTATTACTTCTGTACTGTACATGTATCATATCGATTCGTCATTCCCAGTCTCCTCCTTGCTCACCTTGAGATATGCAGTTCATATCTTTCGGTGTCCAAACAGCTAGTCTGCCATATTTTTTTCCTGAAAACCTTTATTTCTGCTGTAATTTCAAGATCAGGTGATACAACATAGTTGCTGAACACAATGAGATCATAATATTTTGTTTGTTTATTTTACAAGAATGGTATCCAGATCAACTTTGTAGTCCAGGCTGGAAACTGCAATCAGCAGCAGTTTTCCCACCTTAAAAATATATTCCCTCAAAATCCTTAATGCCCCAGTACCTAAAAACAATAAGCAGCTAATGTATAAAGATTTTGCTCAGCGTGACTATGGTTGATGTAGTTTTTGCTTTCTTCACAGAGTAATTCAAATTCAACTTCTTTGTGCCTGGCGATGTTGAATCTAACCTATGTATCAAACGAAATTATTATCAATCGTTTAAGTAGAAAAGTAAGTATTTTGGGGTTTGTTTTTGTTTGCCTTTTAGAAATAGCATCGTACTCTGTAATCAACTGCCTCCTCATGTGGATACTGAATATTAGAGTAGGACACAATAGGTCATATAATACATTGTTCCAACTTTGTAATTCAGTAAATTGCTTGTAAATTCAAGGAGTCAAACCGTGATACAAGGACAGTTAATGAGGTAAGTCACAGAGCAAGGCACATAAACTTAGTCTCTTTAGTACCTATATTATCTCTGTGGAGGCGAGCCTGACTTCTTTTGCAATTAATTATGGGTTTGATTCCTAAGCTGTTGAGAATCTGGCCTTACTTCTTCTACCTACAGCAGTTGGTACTTGATGTTTAACCTCTTTTCTCTGTGTATTAGATAACAGTAAATTCAAGATTTGCTTGGCCTACTGTTAGAAAATATGGATACAAAGTCAAGGATTCAGGCTTCAAGTATGCAGTTGAGACACCAACAAAAATCAGAATTCAGTGGTTTCACAACACAGGTGTGATGATTATTGAGTTTAATAGTACCAGAGAACCAAGAGCTTTGGGATTATGTGGTAAGTATAAAGTAGAGCAAGAAATAAAGGCATTCAGATGCTTTGCTAGGGAGGCACATTTTCCTAATTATATAAACTGTCTTTTGCAGGATCTGGCCAAAAAGTTATTGCAGATCATGGCAAAGTTTAAGATACTATGAAAATTAAATCATTATTAATTTTGTTAATTGTTGAAATGATATTTGATACCTACCCATGTAATCACTTTCTACCCATAGTGTTGCATCTGACTGTAATGTGTTTGAATCACAGGCATGATTGCTGTAACCAAACACAAATATGTAAGACAGGTATAAATCCATAATGTCAAATAAGGTCATTTAAAGATTCAGTATTTGATATCCATCTGACAGGAAGTGATATGTGCTATTTTCAGTTTCTAAAGGTCAGAATTCACAGGAAATGTTAACTTGAGACAACTAATCTTAGTTTATATGTTGGAAGAAATAGTTCAGAGGGAATTTCTTAGTAGTATTGGGTTGAATAACCATCATGTTGCACTCTGTTAGGTCTGCTTAGTATTTTCACCTAGTTTCTTTTTTTCTAAAAAGCATAGCCTTGAATAAGCTGTTGGTGCTATAGCTTTTGCAAGAATGTATTTGTTGATGTAAATCCCCACTGGGACACCTGAATCTGTAAATTTATCTGCTGTAAATTGGAGCTGGAAAGAAGGGTTACAGAGTTCATGTAATTACAGTGGATATCTTTCCAGTTTCAGAAAGGGCAAATGCCTGTAGCTCAGTATCAAATACCAGTGATAGCTCAGTCCAGTTCCAAGTCCTGCAGACAGTAATGTGCTTCTCACAAAGGAACAGAATTTGAATTTACTGCCATTTTGAAATTGGATTGTTATCTGTAATTTGCCCTAACTTTTGTTTTCAAAACAAAATCATTGTTGCTCTGTTTGGCTAATTGTTTAATTGTTTAATTGTAATTAGATCAAACAGAAACAAGAAAGTGAAGACTATTTTTCATCAAGTTATACTGAAAGTCTCTTTTGCCTTTACCTGTTTGATTACTGTCATAGGGAGAACTGGGAACATTACGTTCCTGGTGTACAGGTGCTTTAACTCGATGATGACACATTTCTGTGGATGGTGTTCCAAGTATACAACTTCTTCAGAAAATGTGCTGTATTTGTCTGGTATTCATCTTTGACTGGCATTCTCTGTATAGATCTGCCTGCACAATGCTGTCTGATGCAACTTCCCAGAGCCTACTTTAAATGAGCTGGTTGTACTACATCTTTTCAGGATAAATTAGTCTACCCTGATCGCCTGTGCTTTCTGTGTTTGCTTCTTGTATTTGAGTTTTCTGATGTCTTTTGGCTGAACTGCAGTATTGGTAGATCCCCATTTCTCAGCTTCGTGGAAATGATAAACCTGAAAGAACTGTCACAGTTTTGTAGCACCAAGCATCTGTGTCAGACAACAGTGGCTTTTACAGTGGAAGGATTGGGCAAGCGTGGCAACTGGTGGAGAGCTGGTGTGGGAAGGGAGCATGAACATCTCGATATCAAAACTGGCGAAGGAGAGTGCAGGCATGTCAGTTTTAGCTGCAACCAGATCCCACCAAGCCAAATGTGAAACCCTAGTTTTGCTGTGTTAAGTCTCCTTGTCAATGTGTAAGAGAAGTAGTGGAAAAAGATATCCCAGACACGACAGCAATTCTTTGAAGTCTCTGAGAACCATCAGGTACTTCCTATTTGTGTTGCATAGACTCACAACCTCAAAAAGTTCAACCAGAAACATTTTTGGTCAAATAATGGTTACATTTTCAAAAGCTGTTTTACTCACTGAATGCCTATTGCTGTACCACTGATTGTCAATGGCTTGCTCACAACATCAAGAATTGGTGAAAAATAGTAAAACAGATCAGATCTGTAGAAAAGGGTTAAATCCACAAATAGTTTTTGAACAGATAAATATTTAGAATTGCTATGCAAGGTTGTGGAGACATCACAAAAAAAAAAAGATTCTAGAAGCCTGATACAAAAGTCTCAGAAATTGTGATTAGGAAAAAAGAATGGAGGACTGATCCGTCATTCTGCTTTTTTGTACCTGCTGACTCTTAAAGGACCTTCCAGAGGAGTCTACTGTAATACTTGGATGTTCTATGCTGACCAAAGTCACTCTTCAGGTGTCACATTCCTTTTCAAAATTGCCAGCTACCTTAGTTGAAGCAGAAACAAATGTGGTGCTGCCTAGAAGTGCGAAAAGCTGCACTTTTGTGGTAGCACTTAAGCCAATAGATGCTTAAGACTTCTCCAAAGCATAGGTAGAATAGCACAGTATTTATGAAGTACAGTGTCAGATAAACTTCTCGGCATTTTATGGGAATTTCCTTTGCTGATAACATTTACGGTTTTCATCTGTTGCTATACATAGAGGTGCTTTGTAACCTTTTTCAAAATACATTTTTATTTAGTGCTTTGTGCAACTGAGGGGTGAAGTTTGTGTGCCATAGCTGGGCTTTCTGAACAGTTCTTTGATATGCAATAGATTTCCATTCATAGATGCATCTTTACTTTTGCTTAATTTTTCTGTATTTTGATGCTACCAGAGACTTTCTACATCTGTTGTGGGTTGTGATATTGTCATGTTAGATAAGTTTTTTAAAAGCTGTTTACTTGTTTGAATATGCCACTTCAAACATACTTCAGAATGAAATATACTGTGTTAACCTGCTTTTTTCTTCTGGTAATACACAGGTTTTTGTGATAGAAGCTTGGAAAATGACCTGATGCTGCCCAACAGGACAGTTTTAAGCAAAAGCAATGCTCCATCGACTTTTATAGACAGCTGGCAAGTGCCAGACACGTTAAAGTATGTTGGAGAAGACAGGCATCAGGAAACTAATTGCTCAGTCACGGACTGCTCAGAGTGCTTAAGAATGGTGTTGAACCAGACCTTCAGCAGCTGTCATCCTTATGTATGTTAACTATTTCGGAAGCTTACATTTTGAGAGAGATGCAGTGCTGATATAATTTTGTATACTTGATAATTTCATCACTGTGAAACTACATGTAACCACATCTGTGGAATGAGATATATACTTTTTTGTATCTACAGTTGCAAGGTAAAAATAATTGAAGAGTGTGGCAGCTTCATAGGAGAGTTGCAATAAGCAACTAACACTTTCAGAATTCATAATACATCTTTCTTAGTTTTCACAATACCATCTAATTTATGAATCAGTCCCTGCTAATTCAGTTGTATCAATATGATATAGAGGAAAGTAAAATAAAATAGTCTTAGGATTTAATCCTTAAAATGCTTAGTCCTTAAGTATTCAGTAATTTAACAAGTTCCAAATCGCAATAGGTAATCTGAGAGCCTACATGCTCAAAGGCTTTAGAGATGGGGAATTCCAGCTTGGAGAGATGAGAGGCTAGAACAGACCATTTAAAGCAAACCGAAAGCAAATAACAAACTCACAGTGTGCGAATAATGAATTTATTTGTGCATACATGAGTACATTTACCATTTCAGCTTGTGTATGTTGTTGAGTTTGATGAAGATGAGGCCAAAAATAAACAAAAATATAGAGGTAAGGAAGAACAAGGAGCAATTAGTAATTATGACTTCTGTTGGAAAAACTGTATTAGCTCTTGCCATGGCACTTGTAAGAGATTAAACTGAAAAATGTAAGAATGTCTTATATTTTTTCAACATTCGGGAAGCCTTACTTTTACATACTTGTCGAGTCTTTTTGTGTACCAGTGAATACCAATGAAGGCTGGTGGCCTCTTGCTTACTGTGAACCAAGAACATTAGCTTCATTGTTTGTAGCTAATATTTAAATAGGTCAATCTTTTTCCTACTTAGTAGGGTCTCTATGAAGGTGCAATATTTTTTATTTTTTCTTTGTTAGGTTCCACCTGAGCTGTTCTGTGATATATGGGTTCAAGACACTGAGTACATTCAAAATCCATGCATTTCGCTAGCTGCCTATGTGGCAATGTGCAACAAATTTAATATTTGTATAGAATGGAGGAGCTCTGATTACTGCCGTAAGTATTCTACATGTATGTGTGTACCTCTGGTGTTCACAGAGCCAAAATTTGCTTAATAAAAGAGTTACTGTAAGTTGAAAATACTAGTGCTCCTTGAGTCCTCACATACTTTGGAAGTCATCATTGAGATAATAAATTCAACATTTTTGTTGTTGATACAGTTCAAAGCAGTGTGCAAAAGGAATTAAGATCATTATAGCCATTTCACGGATGGAAAAGCTAAGCTAATGAACTTTGCTCAGAAGCCTACCTCTGGCTTATAATATACCTAACTGTAGAAGTCAAATGCACTCACAATGTAGTGTTTATTTCTCTTAGCCACTTTCCACTGATAAAACCAAAACACAACACAATTGGTTGTGGAAAAGAGGAAGCCACAGAGAGAGAGTTCTGTGGTACTTTGAATTGGTAATGCCTGCTTGATGCTGCTCCAGAAAGCTGTGTCTTTGGAGAAGGGGTTAGAGAAATGAAACACCTTTGAGATTAGATGGAAAGTAAGGAGTAAAACCTGAGAGCTAGAGTATCCTGGCAGAAAACATCTCCCATAGCAACATAGTAAAACAGTGTCAATGATCACCTATGCAGTAATGACATAGTGAGGTCTGTAGTTTCAGTGCTTGAAAAGGGAAAGATTTATTGATGAAGCATCATCCCTCAAAATAAGAGAACTCACTGTAAATAGAAATCATAAGTGATGTCTTTTTTCAAAGTGATTTAAGGTGGGTACATGTGTACAGGCTTCATGCAGGCATGTCATGCAAATAATAGTCATGGAATCTGAAGCTTAAAAACAGTCAATTAAAAAAAATCTTCATTTTGTATGGATTTTACTCGCAAATAACTGTTTAAAAAAAGATCTTACAAAGTAGATCTGTAAATATAGTTATGTATTCCATCCATTGTGAAGGGCCACATCACTTTCTTGCTTTTATACTACGATGACCTCTGGTGGTGCATGCCTAGCAAGGAAGAACCATGAAATTACATCTGGATATGCTGTAGACTGATTTTTTTAAAGCCTGAGTTCCTCTGCTTACAGGGCTCTAAGAGCTATTTCCTGTGGGGTATTATGGCTATTTTCAGTTGTGAGGAGCTGAATAAAATCAACTCTCCCAGTTAATCTTTAAAAGTCTAAACTGGAACCTTCTTCATTTTTGAACAGACAGTCCCTTTGCGAACTCATTACCACGATTCCAGGTGATCTTGCTGTATGATTTAGGTATTATTACATGATGAGGATCATATATTTTGGTAGTTCACAGAACCACACTGTTGCCATTTGTAGTCATTCTCTGTTTGCCATATTTAAGCAGCTTTAATCACCATTTTGAACCGATGAGAGATCATGTTAAGTTTTCAACAGCAGAAGGTAAAATGAGATGCTTTTTTGGTCTGTTCCTGCATGCATCCATAACATGCCAATGAATTTACATTAGTAGTATAAAGAATGTTAAATTTAACTGTGTTCATTGACTTAAAAATCACACACACATACAAGAGATTCATTAATGTGGATATCTATTAAATATTGTCTTTACATACATATCTTTGTCATTGACAAAGCTTTGCTTTTAGTAATCACTGCATTTTCTTTAGCCACTGGAAAGTACTCAGAATGATTCAGAACACTGTGTTATTCATCTGTGTAGTATTTGCAAGTGTTTTGGAATTTTAAATTACTTCAACACTGTTGCATGGTTTGATATCTTTACTGCCAAAATGCACACTGAAGCCTGATGAAAATGTTACTACAGAAGAGAAGTGTTCGCAACTTCCTTTTGTTTGAATTTGTCATGCAGAAGGTAATTGGTTTGTAACGGTGTTTTAGGTTGGTAGATCCTACTGAACCAGTAAGCACAGGAAGTTGACAAGAAGATAATAATGTCTTCTTTTAGGTACTGCTTCATGTGATTACAACTTCAGAATGAGTGATTTGTTTATTTCTGTCCTAGCCTTCCCCTGCTCTGAAAACTTCTCCTATCAGGCTTGTATAGCTGCCTGTGAGGTTGCAGATAGTTGTCAGAATAACGAGGTTGCTTCCCTGGACTCGGACTCCTGCTTAGTGTTGACAGAAGGCTGTGTCTGTACTGGAGGGACCATCCTTCACCGAGCTCACACTGCTGTCTGTATTCCTGAAGAAAAATGTGGTATGTTTGGATGTGGTTTTCTTCTTTATTATCTGCAAGTTAGTGGTCAGATACTACATTAGTAGTAGGTTGAGTTCCAGCTTGGTGTTGTGTGGGTTTTGCTTATGTCATTCAGTTGAGGACTCTTAGGTATTCAGTAAACATTAACTGTCCAGGTGAGCAAACAGGGAATGTCCTTGTGACATGCAGTTTTGCTCACCTCTGAGCTGAAGGATGCTTTTCAAAATGGAAGTTTTACTTATGTTTATGCATTTTACTATTCTGTTAGTCTTGGCCTCCTTTTCATCTAGCCCTTTGCCAAGGGGTCCAACCTATTGATACTAAATGGCATTCAAAAGATATGCAGCAACAGTTAATTACACATTTTGAATAGTAAGTGTACATGTCCTATGTCCTTTCTGCCAGCACTGATACTTATTTTCATTACAGTTCTGCCTGAGAACACCAAATTGTGGACCAATACTGAACACTAACAACACAAACCAGAAAGATGCAGTTTATTATAAATCATATTACGTAAAGCACTCTAAATTAATAATAATTTTGCTCTGTGTGAAACATAAAATTAACTTTGTTTCAGCTCACTGCTTTAAAAGCAAAGGATTGGATTGGGATTTTCAGTGACTAGCCTTGCAGTGGAGACACAAAGTGGAAGCCCTGATCCTCTGTAGTGAATTGAGTGTCTCGCTTTCCCATACAAACTCACTCTCAGACTGTCTCCTCTTTCACTTTTTTATGGGGTGATGGGGATAGGTGATGCCTTTAAAACTCTGGGATTTTTATACTTCATAGTTCTCACTTGCTGTGGAAGAAAATGATGCTCAAAATTTGAAGTAAAAAGGAATTACTTCTATTTTCTGATCTAGCTTGTACGGACAGCTCAGGAGCACCTCATGCAGTAGGTGAGGTCTGGAAAACTTCTTTGAATGGATGCTGTATGCAAAAATGTGTTGACAGTGAGACCATTATTCCAGTGGAGTACAACTGTTCAGATATTCACAATTTAGACTGTCAGCGATTTGCAGAAGTGGCCTTGCTTGTTCCTGGTGATGAGACATGTTGTCCTCAGAAGATCTGTAGTAAGTATTCCTTAATGATTATGACCACTGCCCACTGGAATATGCAGATATCCTTTCTCTGTGGTTTGTTTTCCTGTTACATATCCTACTTTTGAAGTGAATGGAAATTACTTTTGTTTGACTTTACAGATTATGTAGAAAACGGTAGAAACTTCGTACTTATTTGACTCAATATCCAGTAGGTTTTGGGGTAGAGGAAGTGGACAAGGGCTATAAAGACTGAAATAGCTCTGTGTTTATTTGGACATGAATTGTGTTTCTCTCAGCTGTACAGGCTACTGATTTATTTTTAATATTCAAATACAAATAAATGATATAACTAATTACTAGGAAAAAAGATCAGCTGATTGATTATCTGATTTACAAAGTGAGCAGTAAAAAAAGAATATAAAAGCTTTTTTTTTTTAAATCCTTATTTAGCTTAGAAAGTCCATCTTTAAAAAGAAATCACAAGCTATTTTCATGTTCTGACCACCTGGGATGATGTCGGGGTATGTTTTCCACAGGATATTTTTTTCTAATTCTCCCAAGGACTCAGCTCTACTATAACTTTGCCTCCATGGAGAGTGTTGCAAATGCCGGACACTTCTGAATATTGCCTCAGGTTTTTTTGCTAGTTTGTTGTGGTTTTCATATGTGTGGTGTTTGGAGATTTGGGGTATCAAACTTGTAAATACTGTTTGCCACTGCTCCATTCGACTTATAAATGCATAAGATAGTTTAGAAGGGTTTTTTTTTTCCTTTTCCTTTATATAACAGTTTGTAATCAGAGCCTCTGTGAACGCCTAATGCCTGAGTGTAATGGGTTGGAAAAGCTGGTCACTTACTACAATGAAGAATCCTGTTGTCCCAACTACATTTGCGGTAGGTTTCTTTTGAAAAAGTAAAAAAGTTCACCCTGTAAAAGGCATTCGGTAAACTAAATACATCAACTTAGAAGCAAAAGGGTATTTACTGTAGATACCATTGTTAGTATGGCCGTTTACAAAATTCTTTCTCATCTAAAAGCTCAGGTTTGGTCTGTGCTTCTATTTGAGCAGATGTAATGATGGAAGAGTCTTGTGTGATGCCCCATCCCTGGAAATATTCAAGGTCAGGTTGGATGAGGCTCTGAGCAACCTGCTCTAGTGGAAGATGTCCCTGCTCACTGCAGGGGGGTTGAACTAGATGACCTTTAAAGGTCCCTTCTAACCCAAAGATTGTATGATTCTGTGAATGTGTCTTTGATCTCTTGCGAAACAAGGTAAAAGTTTTTCTAAAGTGTCTTGTAGTATTTCTCTGCTCCACACTGCCATTTCTTAGGGATAACAAAGGAGGAATGCTATACTTTGTATAAAGAAATACATCTGTTGTACTTTTTTCAGAATGTGATCCAGCAAAATGTGAACCAATGGAGCAGATGCCAAGCTGTCAAGATGATCAAACATTAGTTGCTGCTCAAGTGGAGAATACCTGCTGCATTTCGTATATATGTGGTACACTATCCTGTCTGGTTGAGACTAAATGTGTTTTTGCATATGCAATGGTGTCTACTATTATTTTTCCTATTACGGCTCTTTGTACTTCCTTTAGCTCTCCCAACATAGTAAGGCTCGAAAGTAGTTAAAAAACTGGGCATTAAAGTTTACAAAATGTAAGAAATAGCAACAACCATGAAGAGTCACAGAACAGCTTTGTGCAACTGAGTAGTATTCTTGGGTCCATGTAGAGGAGTGGTGGTGGAGTGTATGGATGAGGGAGCTGAGTGTTTTTTGAGAGACTGTCCATGTATGGTGATTGGACTAGCTGTATGAATGTTTTATCTGAAAGAAGACTGAAGCTACATATGCTCTTGCTCCCTATATCCTGTTGTATCAGCTAAGGCCCATCTTATTCAATGGTAAATATCCCATATGAGTATTTACGCAAATTTTTTTGGTTCTTTTGGGATTTGGCCTGTAATGACTCAATTCAATAATAAAATTGCTTTTTTTGGCATTAGTATAGGAGTTCTGATGTTACCATACAGGTGTTTTCTGTATGATAATAATGTGATAATGAAGTCCTGTTGAATTTACTCTATTTTTGTACATAGATATCTATGAATCAAAGGCCTAGTTGACTTGATTAGCTCTTCTATTTGCAAAAATTTGAGCAGTAATAGAAAACTTGAATTACACTTCCATTATTTACAGTAATCAGGGGGTCACTTTGTTCATGTGATAGCAATGTGCTGTGTTTGGCTCTTCTTGCTATCGCACAGCAGCCTTCTGTCTCTTTTTTGATATACTGAGTCTTTGCACTGTACATATCGAAAAGTACCTATTGTGGGGTTCTTATGTGTTCAAGTGGGAGGATAACACCTGGGATCACAGGAGATGCCCTTTACTGGGGATCAAAGGTCCTATAATTTGGGCAGAGGTGCATTCCTGAAAACAGCAGGGTGGCTTGGTAGGAGAGAAAATCTGGCAAAATTTTTGATAACAGAAAGGAAGAGAAAATCCTGTTTGTTGTGATCTGACTCACAAACAATGTATTCATTCTTTATAGCAGGGGACAAAGAAAAGGCAAGCTGCACTGAAAATTAGCCTCTTCTATAGGGACTATAAGGAATGAATGCAGAGTATCTCTGTTCTCGTTCATATGCGTCTGTGACAAACTTACAGGCATGTTTCCTAGGCAGTAGTGAAATTTCTTCTGATGCTTTAGATTTAAATAATTGTTTTCTCCAGCATGCGGGGCTTGCTCTGATCAAATACCCAAATGTCAAGAAGGAGAAGTCCTTATTGTGGATGACAACACTACAGAGAGATGTTGTCCTACATACCAATGTAGTAAGTTTGACTTGATTTTGGTATTTTAAGTGATTGAGACCATGTCAAATTTTGTAGTATGGATGTTCAGTGCCAAAAATGGTGGATTAGAAATACAGCTCCACTTGTGCATATAAGCAAGCTATCATCTGTAGTCCTGAACAAATAATCTTTACTTTTAAAATATCATGTGCCTAAAGCATTATCTGAATATCTGTAGCATGGAGACAAGTGAGTAATTTCAGGCCCTAAATTCTGGAGTTTTAAACTGTTTTAAATATTTGCCTAGAGTAGTTGTTCTCCACACTACTATTACCTAATGGCTAATGATTAAATTTCAATTATTAGTCTTTTCAAGTAAAGGTATAATAAAAGGTATTTATTATGAATAAGTAATTTACTATCTCAAGATTGATATTTCTGTTCATCAAAATATGACAACCTTGTGTTTATCAGACTTTTTTTTCCTTAATTTTAGACTGTGAAATATATCGTTGTCCTGAATTCAAATGTATGCTGGGCATGTCTTTGGTGGAGGTATGGAGCCCAGAGAAGTGCTGCCCCTTTCGGACATGTGGTAAAATGACTGATTTTCATTTTAGTTGTCTTAGGCAATAAGACACTGACAAGAGCTTTGGCCTCTTGGGTTTAAGTCTGGTTTCAGCCAGCTATACCATTGTGATCTACTCGTGAACAAATGATATAGAAATGTCATCTCATGATACAGAACTTCTTAATCTGCCTGGTTTGTTTTTTCTTGCTTCACAAGGGTGATAGCATACTGTAGAATTTGCCTGTCCAAACTGGGTGTCTTATCTTGAAAATTTTGTAAGAGTTAGTAAATTATTTATGGCTTTAAAAAAAAAAAAAAAGGCTAGGTTCACAGGTCAGGAATTTGCCAGTTTGCAAAGACAGTAGTGTATCATAGGACAAGGGTTAATGGTTTTAAACTGAAAGAGGGTAAATTTAGATTAGATATAAGGAAGAAATTCTTCACTATGAGGGTGGTGAGACAGTAGAACAGGTTGCCTAGAGAAGTTGTGGATGCCCCATCCGTGGAAGTGTTCAAGGCCAGGTTGGATGGGGCTTTGAGCAACGTGGTCTGGTGGAAGGTGTCCCTGCCCATGCAGGGGGGTTGTAACTAGATAATCTTTAAGGTCCCTTCCAATCCAAACCATTCTGTGATTCTATGATCATACATCTCTTTGTGATGCCTTAAATGCAATTCTCCATCCTTTATATTGATTGTAATGATTATCATCACTGCAAGGAGGCTAGCAGCTAGAATGATTGTCTTTTTTTTTTAATGTGTTCAGGTGGACTGCAGTTGATACAGTACTGTAAATTGTAGTAAGTAAAGCTGGTCGTAGAAGCTGATATTAGTTTTCAAGATGGAATAGAAATCAAACACAATTCTGGAATTCCCAGATGGGTGTATTTCAAAAACCAGCAGAACTTCTTTACTGATGATTTGTAAATCTGGAATTTCTGTTCTCTCTGCTCTGTTTTAAGCAAATGGCATATTCTAAACTATTGTTTCTGTTACCATATTTTGTTTTAGAATGTGCATGCGAAACCATTCCCAAACCTCAGTGCAAACTGGTATGAAATTAATCTTCTTTGTCAGTATTCTTTTATTAATTTCTTAATAAATCTATCAGTATATGATCTTTTTATCAGTGAAATATGAAATGCCATGTCATTCTCTTCTTTTAAAAATTGTTTTACAAGAAGATAAATCTATTTTTAAGAAGCCAGTTAAGTTTAAATATCTTGCAGAATAAAATGGCTGTATAGCATTGATATTTCTGAAGTTTTTTATGACCATATTCTGCCCTGAAGTATTTGTAGAGTGGAACTGCTTTCATGTACCCCAGGATAAATTTTTGGTTTTTAATTGTCAGTACCAAATGCTGTACAGCATCAGTGTTTTGTTAATAATATTTGTTATAGTGAATCTGTTAAAATATATCATGCACTCAGATGGCTGACTAAGCAGAAATTTTAAACTGTGTTTAATTGTGGATTGTTCTGCCTTACAAAAGTGCTTATTAGCATTACTGGGTTAGGTTCTCAGTCAGTACTGGGTATGCTTTGATTTTGCTTGTCATTATTTTATCAAGAAAATAATATTGCAATGGGAATAACTTATAAAAATTTTAATTTGGAGTCCTAGGAAGGGAGAAAAATCTTAAAATCTTAAAAAATCTTAAAACTGGGAGAAAAATCTTATGCATACATATAAACAATAAGGGTCAAAATTAAAAAGTACATCTGTGCTATTGTAATACTATCTATATTCATTAACTTATTCCATGAAAGAATACACTCCACACTGCACGGACATTTCTGTACAAAGGCAAGCCACTGCATTTCATTGTTTGCCTGCCTTAGTCTTTTTCTGTCCTAAATGTCTGCTGTACTGACACCAACAACCATTCCTGTTTTTCAGGTGTAAAAAAAAAATTCCCGTTTGTTTATTATTATGAAATTAAATGTCCCTATGGGTGATGAAAGTGGCTTTGAATAGGTTTCTAGGAGCAAGAGATACTGCTACTCAAATCCTGAAGGAAAGGTGTTTAAAAGAAAAAGATCATACAGATAAGAAAACACTGTCATTTCACTTCTCTTTTTTTTTTTCTCCTTTTGTACACTTAGGGGCAGAAACTTCAGATAGATGAACAGTTTCAGAACAGTACAGAAAATATCTGTAACTGTGTTAAGTACAAATGTGGTAAGTCAGAAATTAATTTAATTCAAAGCAATACGGTAAAATAAGGTAAATTAGGAATTATAAATTGGATATTCACTTTGAACATGGTGCTGAGGAGGAAAGAATTGACTGACATAATTCACAAATAGTGTAAGAAAAGGGAAGAAAATAGGACCCCTCACTAAATATTTAGTTGATTATGGCCTGTCCTTGTATTCTGTTAGTTCCTGCAGCAGGAGATCTGTGCAGGGAAATAGCAGGCAGTTTCGGGAAAGTTGGGTGGTGGTCACTAAGCAGCCTGCATATTGGTGAGCAGGAGTAAGGACTCCAGCAAGCAACTAACACGCACACAACAATGTCCACATAAAGAAAAGTCCCGCTAACGCATGATGGGACTACTCCAGGAGCTGGTAGACATGATTATGTGCTTTACAAGATCAAGGATAGCATTCAGCACCATGCAAATTCATCTTAGAGCATGCCCAACAGCATCTGGGAAAACTTGGGGAAAAAATAATTCCTGTGGGGCACCCAGTGGGCCAATAGAGTTGGGATTGTCCTTGCCTAGATTTCTACAATAAAGATATATACTTCTGAGCTAATTATCTGCACCCTCAGGAATCAGTTGGGAGAAATAGACATTTCTCACGTACATTTCTTATCCTGAAGTAGACTTATAAAATAAATCAGTTGAAGAAGCCTGCACTGTCATTTTGGTAGTGCAGCTAATACAATATTATATATTTATTTAGATTTCATGCATGGTTATATTTGAAATAATTTGGTGATTGTAGTGAAGTATTAGACTACTATTAACAGTTTATATTTGAAAATCTGACCCGTAATTCTTAAAGAGGTAGAGTAGCTTTTCCTGTTCCTGTTCTACTGTTTGAAACATTTTTTAACAGACTTTTGATACCAAGCTGATTGTCCTGAACATGCTGTTTATTTTTGTGTTTACTTGTAGTAAGAGACAAAGTTTGCCTGAGTAATGAGAGAGGTGTGCTGCTTCCTGGACAGACAATCATGGAACACAGTGCAGATGGCATTTGCCATGTTTCTTATTGTACAAATGTGATTGATCCCTCCACTAAATACTACCAAATAAACGTGTCTTCAATAGACTGTGCTGTCAAGTGCAAAGCTGTAAGAGATTCAGAATTTTGGACATGTATATTGTGACTGGTGGTCTTAATTACATTTTGTTGGAGTTTGTTGAGTAGATTACTGTCATGGGAACAATATCAAGAGAGTAACTTGAGTTCTCCATCTAATGATATGCTACTGCTGTTATGATAGAAGTTTATAAAAGTTTGACTCCCTTCACTGTTTTCTCCCCCATGTAAATCTCATACAAACTAATGTGTATAGCATACTGCCACCTTGCAACCCTGTGTATCTTTAGCTGCTATTATGCAGGTGGAAATTCCTGTCAGACATTAGCTCAATTAGAATTGGGAAGAGAATAATTATAAATAGAAGATGAATTCTAAATGTGGTGAAATCAGGTTTAAAAAATAAGCAAATGATAGCTTGTCTTTTGACAGAGTATAATACATTACCATGGGAATATTACCTAGATTACTTTTTCTAATTATGTACTTACTTGATGTCTAATGTGTAAAAAGTCAAAATTTCAGTGGTTCCTGAAGTAAGCTGTCAAACTCATATTTGAAAAAGCTAGAAAGACCAGTTCATTCTCTGAGTTGGAACTTCTCCCCATTTAGTTAAATTAAGGTCAAAGGTATTTTATAAAAGCTTCATGAATGTACAGTGTGTACAAATGTAAGCTCTGTGATTTTGAGAGTTATTTAAAAACCATCCCTCAAATCAGATACCTGAAAAAAACCTCACCATTACAATAGTAAAATGTCAAGCTGCAAGATGGTCTCATACAAGGAGTAATCTATTTAATTTTGGCAGAACCAAGTCTATCAGCCTCCAAAAGATTTAACAAATTGCTGTGGAAGCTGTAAGAACTTGTCTTGTCTCTACACTTTCAGAAATGGCACAGTTTCCAATTTTAAGGTAAGTTTATGCATGTCTTATTCCCTCAAAACATTTAAAGTAAACAAAAAAATTATGAGATACTACATACACATTGCCATAAAAAATGTGCAAGGAGCAGCTTTATTTGTCCAGATACTAGGAATCATTTTGCATGTACACAACATTAATTTCTTGGAGAGTCAATCATGTAGCTGTCTATAAAGATTAAGGGATTTTGATGTATCGGAGAATTATTGTCAACTTTACTATTTTAGAACCTGCTTAGCATTATATATTTAGTGGACTTTTAAGTTCTGTACTTAAACAGAACTTTAACATGTGTCTAAATTATATTTTGCTGTAAGTACTACTTTTCACTCAGACAAGATCACATTCAATGGAATTGTATTAAAAATACTTATAATACTGGTTTTGATGAGTTGCAGAGTAAAGATTCTGTTTTACAATTTTTAACAGCCTGGTACTGTTTGGATTTCAAACTGCATCAGATATGAATGCACTAACACAGCAATAGGACCAGTTCTGGTTTCCTCTTCAGTTGGCTGCCCACCCTTTAATGAAACTGAATGTGTGAAGGTCAGTGTTCAATGTGTTGTTTGTGTTCCAGCTATGATTTATGTTTGCATGAAAAGATTAACACTGACAAAAAACGATTTTACCTCAAGAAGGGAGAAATTATAAATTCTTGCAATGCCTGCATTTTTTCCCAGACGTTTGAAGGTGAAAAGCTCTAACTAGACACATAGAGTGTGTCACCAGACTGGCCAGTTACACAGCTGGAGACACCTCTTCTTATTCTCAGAATATTTTTTTTTTTTCATAGAGGCTTGTAATATCAAACTAGTCCTCATACAGCTATCTGAACTTGGATGCTTTTTCTGGGTTGGACTTCTCCTTTCTAACCGATTTTCTGCATAAAGCAGTTTCATTCATCACAGTTGTCAAAAACATTGAAGAAAAGGAAAGATTGTCTGAATATCAGGAAAGTATTTTCTACAGTGAGACATAAGGTTTTTTGAACTAGTTTTGCAGAAGCAAAAGCTCTCCTTGAATTTGCAAAATGAGATTAGACTAAGTGCCAGGAAAGGTATGCAGGGAGCAATCTCATATTGCTGTCTGTAATTCTACATTTACACGTGGATGGGGGGATACTCTCCTGAATGAATGATGGCACACCGGCAGGGAACAGTCCGAAAGGAACTAGATGGCTGCAGTTCTTCCTCACAGATAACAATGGATTGGCTCTTCAGAGAGAGTCTCAGTTACACAGCTGATGAAAAGCCTTTTGCTGCTCTAAGCAAACTAAAAAAGTTAAGGTAGAAAGATAGATCATCATGGCTTGAGATACTGAGGTAGACATCAAAAATTGAACTCTCCTTTTAAGGTAATCCTGAGAGCGCTTTTAAAAAAGTTGCGACTATTCTTCCCACAGTGCTCTGGGGAGTGCTTCATGCTACAGCAGTGAAGGCAGCCATGACTCTCCACCATGGGAAGTGGGTGGCTTCTCATTTAGATGAGATTTCTTCCTGCTTTGATTTCAGAATCAGGTTTTTGTGATTGTCAGTATGGCCGCTACAAGAAGTCAGAATTTACTCTAAGTAACAGATGATGGAGTCAGACTTAACACAGTGATTCGCTCTCCAAATGTGGCATTTTAATAGCTGGTGATACCTAGTGGCATTCAGCGACAACCACTTAATACCAAGTTAGATCATTTACAGCCAAGCCTTCATCCATTGACCAGTGCTGCATTTGCCTGAATAATGTTGTAGAGCTTTATCTGGAAGATATTTCTAATAGTGCAGATCTATGGGAATAAATGTTTGAAAAGAATAAATTTTTTTTCCTCTTTATTTCTCTCTTGGTCAGGTTGGAGGCTATGTTGTACCATTCTTAGAAGGATGCTGCAAAACCTGTAAGTGATTAATGACACTTCCTGCCTCACAATTCTGTCTGATTTCTTGTTAGATTAGAAATTAGGTTGGTTCTTTCCTGCATGAAAGCTTGATTCACTGATCTCAAAGGCTGTGCTTTTCCCGGTTTTACTCGTATGAATACCGGTGAAACTAGTGGAGTTAAATCAGAAGGAAGTAGTTTAACATTGAAGGGATTTACTCCACTGACAGTGATTGTGGCTGGCCAAGTCACTAAAATTGCTACCTTGAGTATTTTGTAGATCTTGTGTAAAACTCCTCAAAATATTAGTTACTGCATTTAGTATAATAAAAAGTACTGTGTTTTGGAAGGCACCTTAAAACATGCTTCATCTATGTTCATATCATCATATTTGGTAAAAATGAAGATTGATCTATACAGTTTGTAAGTTAATGCTGTAAATAATTAACTGGTTGTAATATAGTCTTAGGTTCTATCAATAGACATAATTCAGAAGCTTTCAGGCAGTACCTCTTATAAGAACTTAAAATTTAAAAATACCCCCTTACTTGATTACCAAGATGTGTCTTGACATTTATGAGAGCTAATAAAGGTTCTCTGGGAAAAATAAAATAATTTTCTACTGAATAGATTCCAAATGTGCTAATTCTTAATATAAATCAAGAGCTAAGTACATTGATTTTCTTAACACACTGGTACATAGCTGAAACATTTTGGTGGATTTTGTGAAGAATTTAGCCTAAGGCAGATACCTAACCTGAAGAATCTAATCTCAAATACTTGAAGTTGACAATGTTACAAGCAATGGAAAAGGAGATTTTTATACTGGGCAGTATCGGATTATCTTTAAAAAGGTGCAAAAATGTCACTTCATTTGCATAAGTGGCTGGAATAGTTACCTAAAAGCTAAAGATAGTAGGAGATAGTGTGCGAGAGAGCTGGAGAAAAATGCAGGTATTTCCTGCTGGGTGGGACGGGACTTGAACAATCATGACTACCAGATATGGTACCACGTGAACAGTTACTGCAGTGGGATGTTTGTTGCCAACTGGGAGGTACCTTTTGGTGTTATTCATTATGTATTACATTTTGTAGTACAAAAGGTATTGAAACTGTGGAAGATTGATCTGCTTTTTTCCTACTCCTGATCACTGTAAGGGAATGGTAATATCTCTTCATGTTTTTTTCAGTCTGATGGACCTGTGTTTGTCCTAGTTCTGTAGCCGATTCTCCATAGGCTCTTTGAGATAAGTTTTTGATTATCTGACATTACCCTTCAATGCCTTAGCAGCCATTTCTGGCAGAAGATCTTGCTAGTATACTTAGAGAAAGATCATAACCACACTCTTAAATAATTAAGACAAAAGTAAGTTACCAATCTGGGGCATGCATCAGAAAGTAAAATTAAACCCTTGAAAACTCCACTTACTTCTGAGATGCGTTCACAAGTAGATTCATACAGTTTTGATTTCACACCTGTTTATAGACAACATAGTACCTCTATGACTCATGTAATTCATTCTGACTCTGAACAAATCTGGCATGAGAGCAGTTACTCAACTGTAACTGTGTGAGACGTTTTATGAGAATCACAGAATCACTAAGGTTGGAAA